GAAAGCACTGATTTAACATTAGGAAATGGATACTATATGACTGCTGTCCATGACACTTCCCTTGCCACTCAACACTGATAGACTTTCAAAATAAGACTCCAGGGACCCTACAAAATAAAAGCCTCTATATTTTTTACATATATTTATTGCCCTATATGGCTCAACATTATGACCCAAACTCAACCCCATTTTAGAGAATAGACTCTAGGAGACTGTTTAAAACACACCTTAAGGCAAATTTCAAAATAAAAGCCTCCCATTTCATCTTCATCTACTGCCCTAATAACATGGAAAAAAGAGTGATTTAACGATTGGAAAGTCATCAACTATCATTGCTGGGTCTGAACATTTTCTCTAAACACAACTCTGTTGGACTTTCAAAATAAGAATCCAGGGACCCTACAAAATAAAAGCCTCTAGATTATACTAATGCAATAATTGATGCAAATGGCTCAACATTATGACCCAAACTCTTCCAGGTTGTTTTTATTAGACTCTAGTGACCTTTTCAAAACACACCCCAGAGCAAATTTCACAATAAAAGTCTCCCATTTACTCTGTAATACAGCAGCTATTCACCTAATAACATGGAAAACCAGTGATTTAACATTTGGAAATGGATTCTATATCACTGCTGGGCATGACCCATCTTTTGATGCACATCCATGATAGACTTTCAAAATAACACTACAGGGACTCTACAGAATAAAAGCCTCTTCCTTATACACACTCATACATTCTGGCATATTGCTCATAGCCATTTGTAATTTCATCACTGCAATGGCTCTGAGCATGCGGGCGGAGCCCGCCATTGGTGATTTCATCACTGCAATGGCTCTTAAAAGGCGGGCGAAGCCCGCCATTGGTGATTTTTTTCATCGCTGCAAGGGCTCCTAGCAGGCGGGCGGAGCCCGCCAACTGCGCTTTACCCACTGCGGTTCAATATGGACAAACCATATTACCCTTGTGCATCATACGCTGTGCACGTCTATTTCCCAGATTTCAGCACAAGTGGCACACAGCTCTCTTTGCCCATGACCTAGCCCGTTTTCCTTCCCTCAGCAGCCCTCAAAGGCGTAAGCAGTTGGTCTGGGGAGCCCCGACGTCACTTGCCAGGGCCGTATTGGCCCAGTTACCCAGACCGGCAGTAGGTGGCCCCCCTCAAAATTTCTTTAGAAATTTTCTAGTTTATTTTATACTATTGTTTGTGTATTCTATAATTCCAGTTTCAATGACTGTGTGGCATTAAAAGTCCTTTTTTGAAGGAAAGCTGTTTAAAATAGTTGCTCAGGATTGATGAGACCCATTTTGGAGCCTATTTGGCCCACATGCAAAAGTAATGAGTGGTGTGGAAAGCATAACACAACATTTCCATTTTGAAACATGGCGGCAGCTGCATCATGCTATGCAGACAGAGGGACACAGAGGCTAATTAGGTTATGAACTAAAATGTACAGCCATAGGTTAGGTGGGATGCTTCAGATCAAAGCATATCCATGTGTTAGGATGGCCCAGTCAAGATCCATGCCTAAATTGAACTGAAACTGTGCTTTGATACTTTTATTGTTAAAAAAGATCCGCATTAGCTGTCACCAAAGTGGGACGAGCTAGTCTCCCTGGGGTCCACAAGACAAAAAAAAATAAAAAATCACTTAATCACACATTATAGACATTAATTATAGATTTAATCAGAAATCATTCAGAATAAGTTATTACATTCATATCTAGTACATTAATTATCACTTTCATACAATAAATATCTTAATTCACTACTCAAAAATTTAAATAGTGCATTCTCAAATAATAATTAAAAGATACTTCACTATTCAGTTCACGTATATTCAGTGAGCAATTATTCCAAAAACTGATGGCACGATAAATAACTGTTCTCTTTAAGGCATTTGATTTTGGACATGGCAACATTATCTGACCAACATTAGCTGACCTTGTCTCACAGGAATGAACCTGATGACATCTGACAATTTGGTTATATAAGAAAATAGGTTGGGGAAAAAAGGACGTTTTGTTGTATTGCAAGCCAGTCTTTACTCTACTCTACCATTAACCAGGAAAGTTGATGGTGCATACTGATGGTGTTTGTTCTTATGGAACCATGTAAAACCAACCTGGCAGCTCTGTTCTGAGCAGTTTGTAATTTCCCTAGTTGACCCTTAGATGCGGAGGACCATACAGGTGCAAAATAATCCAGGTGACATAAAATGAACGATTTAGACACCTGCTCCACAACATTTGTAGGGACACAAAAAAAACGACATTTCCTCACCATTGAGATAGCACAACCCATCTTCCTCACTATGGTATCAATGTGTTCTGCCTATGACAGCTGATTATCAATTATTATGCCCAATAATTTTACTTTATCTACCTGTTCTATAGGTTCCTCAGATAAGTTCAAACTCATCTTTGGTGTAGATGACAGTTTATCACTTGATCCCAAAATTATTGATTTGGTCGTAGAGATATTCAGAACCATCTTATTTTTGTTTTATCCAATTAAAAACCAAATTTAACTCAGCTGACAAATCATTGTCCAGTTCAGACACTTTTTGAAGCATACTGTAATACAGAGTGGAATCATCAGTATACATTTGTACAGTCGCTTTACACAAAACAAATGGTAAATTATTTGTGTAGATGCCATATAAGAGTGGTCCCAGAAAGCTTCCTTGCAGGATCCCACAATCCAAGACCCTAGAGTGAGACCAACTGCCAGAGTAATATACCCGTTAGAATCTATATGCTCTATTTTGTTTCTTTCGCTATTTTGCACGAGGAACAGCGATACATTCAGTTTCTACAAGTAAAGTTCGACTTGGGGTCCTACCCTAATCTGCGGGTTAGTTGCAAAGTATTGACTTCAGGGGGTTTAAATACAAGGGGAGCACTCCCCTTTTTAAAAATCTTAACAAAACACAAAAGATTTTGAGCAATGCTTTTACTTTTACTTTCATTCACAAAATTTTTTTACTTTTTCTTAGCACAAATATCTAAAAAAATCCAGATATATTTGTGGTAACAATGTCTGAGAGGTTTCAAGGAGAACAAATGTATGCAGGTGAACTACAGAGTTTTCTACCAAACCAACAGTGTGAAATCAGTTTCTACATTACGATTCCCTTCTTAAAGTTTATAAATGTTTTTTGCTGGTTGAGGTATAGATTTTAGGGCCTCCACTCTGTTTATCATTGTCTTTAGCAGTTTGCAGCCAAATAAGTTATTCTCTTTGCCATTTTTCAGCTTGGTTTATCCATAGATGGCACTGTGCATCAAAGCTGTAGAGGTTTTGAAACTCTCTACAGTCCGATTCTCATAGAAATTCTTTGTGATTGGAGTGACAGGTTATCAAAACGGGGTTAATGGAGGAAGACTGTCTTGGCCATCTCTGCTGTATCTTTGATTGGGGTTACTCATACAGGCCATCCTGATAAACCAGGTCTGTGGAGGGGGTTTGGATTGGGTTAGATGGGGTCAAGTAGAACAGCAAACGGGGCAGTTGTTCTTTTTGGATTTAGGATACATTTAAGGGGGGGGGGCCCCACCTCTTGTTTTGAGGTTATTTCGACTCTTTATTTTTCATTCTTACTTTTGCAGAGGAAATGCTTCACTTTAGTAGAGAATTTAAAAAGATATAAAGGCAGCTAGTTACCAGGGTGATGGTTTGTTTTACGGCTTAATATTTAGACTCATCTTCCTCTTGGATCTCACTGTATAAACAATAAGTGACCTTTAGGAAGGATCGGTGGATCTTTTCCACCACTTAACTGTGTGATCTTACTTTAGTCTCTCTGCTGCTGCAGTGCTGTTAAAAGTATTCACTCTCTTACATATTTCCTGTTTTTCCTTATTACACCTAAATGTTTTGAAATACCTAAATATTTTAATGTCACATGAAAATAACCTTAATAAATTAAAGCAGCAATTTTGAAAGGATTATTTTATTTATAAAATGGAGAAAACTATCCAAACTAATCGGTCCAACAAATTCACAGAAACAGAAACCACGGTTTGTACCAGATGGTTTAAAAAGAAGCGTAAAAAATTGTAACTGCATTTACTGGAAAAGAAAAAAAAAAGTAATCTAAACTCTTCAAACTCATTTGAAACCTCCTTTAATATGTGAAATCCTGATTCAGAAACTGCACTTTGCTTTACCTTGTGTTTCCTTTTGTCTTGTTAACATTTGTTTGTTCCAGAAGATTTATGTGTGACAGCAAAGAAAAAACTAAATTAATCTTTCAGGGTACGAGTCTATAAAGTAAAAAAAAAACAAACAAAAAAAACAGTAACCACTCATTTTACAATCATTTGTATATAGAACTGTCTTGAAAAAGTCACACTAAGTGCTGTGTATGCGACGATTCTTCTTGTTTAAATGCTTTTATTGGCAAAGACCGCTATAACAAAAGCGTGTTCCTCGGAGGAATATTTGCAAATGTCCTAGATAACATCATCTTTTCAATCAGCACACCTGGGCCCTAGTCCCTCTATGTGATGTAAAGTACTTCGTCAGAAATGGGACATTTTTGAAGAACACTACCTGCAAAGATACACAAACACACATGAAACCTTTTCATACCATAATACCTTTGAATGTTCATGTTGCGTCTGAGCTCGTTTTGAGTCCACTAAGAGGCTAATTGTTGTGGTTTCCTGCTTTAGTTTACATTCCCACAGCCAGCTTGAAGTGTTTAACTGGAAGTCTCCTGCCATGCAGAGTTTTCAGGGTTGTCGGACAAACCAGGGCTGCTATCAATGTGGGTAGTTTTCTGTATGTGTGTGTGGGAGAGAGTTTTATATGAACTACAGAGTGGTGCATAGACTATCCAACTAAGACACCGCTGCGTCTCATCCAAGTCCCATCTGGAACGTATTAATCCTCTGAGAACATGCTCCTTCTCCTTTAGTCTCTACTCTTTTGCAAGTGTCTCTGCCGGATGGTCTCTCTCATTGTCACTCTTGTCTTCTGTTGGTGCCGGCAGGTCCGATCAGGAAACCTAAATATGTAGAGAGCCCTCGCTTACCTTCTGATGCCATCATGTCAGCGTTCAGACAGGTGGATAATAACAAGGATTCCTCCCGCAATGGTGAGTTTTTATTTTTATTATTTATTTCTTTTCTACATATAACTAGATAGATATTGGTCTAGAATCTAAATTTTCTAATAGATTACCTTTTTAATTTGTGTTACAATTTTGGCCTCTAGTTTCACATGGATTTAAAGTGTCTTCCGGGAAGAGCTGATGCAAAAAATATATGCATTTCATCCTTTTTCTTCTTCATGTAGTCTTTTCTGCAAACATATAATAGTGCCATGTTTAGCCTCAGCAGAGTGTTTATATTACAAAGGAGTCTGTTGTCCACTGTGTATGAATGCACTGTTTTTATCACGAGAATCCAATGAGATGCCGCGTAATCTCCAAGAAACTTCACATAGTTGCGTTCTCGTGTTTCTAAATATCTGCGAGGTGTGCCTCCAGCCTTAATGCAGCTTATTTTTTCCTCTCTGCATTGGGAGTTGTGCTTGTGTGTCCATGGGTAATGTTCTCCGAAGTAGTCCTGTTTTGATTTCCAACAGAGAAAGGCTGGCTCAGATTCCTCCCACAAGGCTTAAGTGGAAGATGTAGAACACTTTATCTTTAGCATAAAGCATTACCGGAAGGCTGCCCTTTGACTGTACATGCAGACCACAGCCACCCACTGCACCCCAGTCGCTGTGGGCTGAGACATTCTGAAGCATGAGGGTGTGCCTGACATTCGGCTGGAACACAACTCAAAGAAAGCTACCAGTCAACAGTGGAAACCTGATAAAAGTTATCTCATGACAGCTGGTGGACTGATACTGCAGGTCTGCTAGTTTTAAAAGTGGAAAACTTAAGCAATTTCTATTGTCAAGTTGAATTTTTAAAAGGTTTCATTATATATTTATAGTAAAGTGAAAAAGTAAAAGTAAAAAAAAAAAGTTTTGTAAAATCGTATCATTTATTATCTTATTTTTTTCTGTAAAATCTGGAAACTGATACAAAGCATTTGTATTATTTCCAGCTTTATTTTCACCCAAAAAGCAAAAATTATCTATAATGCAGATTATCTCCACATTACTTGCCTTGCAAAAATAGTACATTTTTTCAAAGAAAACTAATCTGAGATGTACAATTTACACTATTTGAACCCTTTTTTACTCTGAAACACCAAAATAAATAGCAATTTTCAGCTGGCAACCATTACTTGACACAATTCGTCAACTAATGGAGCCCAGATTTGAATTATTTGATCTACCAGAAAGTATAAATCCAGCTTGTCCGTTGAGACCTCAGAGATTTGTTAAATAATATTTGCTTATAAATAACATCATGAAAACGATGAACAGAGCGGACAGGTTAGTCAGTTTTGGAGAAGTTTAAAGGAGGTTTATGCCAGAAAACAATATCCCCATGTTACAGAGCCTTGACTGTCAGTCCAAACCTTCAGGTCATGCAAGATTAGCATTAATCAAAGATGTAGCCATGGTAACTCTGGAGGAGCTACAGAGATTTACTACTCTGATGAGAGACTCTATTGTGAAATATAGTTTTTGTAGCTGCTTGCTTTGGGATGCTTTGCTGCAGCAAGGAGAGGGAAGTTGGTAAAAACTGATTGGAAGATGGGTTGAGCAGGAAAAAACAGTTTTTGCCTGCAAAAAGGGTTAAGCAGAACAGTGGAGTGGATCACAACTTCTCCTGTAATCTCCCTAGAAAGCCCAAGCTGCTACTGCCTAATAAGGACACAAAACATTCTCCTACACCATTCTCATCATGGTAGACATCTGTTTTTAAACACTTGTCTTTAGACCAACGGACTCAAAAACAGATTTTATGCTCAGGCCATAATTGCACTCATAGTTGAGCAGTTTTCTTCACTTTTTGAAGAAACTGCTCACTAGTCTTAACAATGCATAATATATAATAATGGATGATTACTAAATTCTCTACCTAAATAAAACCATATCTATAAACTCTTTGTTACCCGTCTATAAATGGAGACTTATTATAATTCAGTACAAAATGCACTATAAGATCAGATATTCTGTTATACTTGCAGCACAAAATATATAGTCAAACGCTAATGGTTGCTATGATACAATGTTTTAGATCAAAGCATATTTATTCATTAAATTTGGGCCAAATAAAATAGTCAAATTAAAAGCCCATCTAACATGTTGGCTGGACATTGAATGGGAACAGGTGGCTACAGACAGTGAAACACCCAGAGCAACTTTCAGTGTTGACACAGCTGACTGCAATTTACCTGATATTGTAAATCAGGTTTGGATAAGGCTTTCATTTTCAGATCTTTAGTATTTGTTTAAGGTTACATGTTATTGAGCTTAATGATAGTTTTCTTACTGTTCGTGGTCTAAGAGTAGTAAATTAAAGCCAGAGTGAGACTATAAAACATCAGATTGGGCATTTTAGTGCACCTGCAATGGGAGTTGATATTCCTATTCATGCAATAGTCTTGATTTCATGTTTTCAAGTTATAGATGACATTTCCCATATAAGTCAGTAAGTATATGTTGCACCCCACTGTGCTGTCTTGTATGCCCTGGGACAGAAACCTAATCAGTCTGGTGCAATGTCACGTAGTTTTACCTTGTCAATCATTTACCCTCATACCAGTATATATCATGCATGTTTAGCTTAACCAAAACACTTTCAGATAACCCTCTAAGGCTTTTTTCCACTTTGAATGCAACACGGTAATCCTAATATTATTATAATAACTGAAAAAACACTTAGTCAGCACATGCTATACATAGAAAATCCAAGTGATTCAAAATGTATGTACATGGGCTTCACATAAGAAATGAACAATTTGGGTTCTTTTTTCTGTAGTGATTTATGTTGTCACTATCATAACTTCACATTTGCTTCATAAAATGTATTCAATTTCAACACTTTTCAACTTAACCAAAACTAAAAAAAATTACATAACCAAACTTTATACATTTTATAAAAAAAAATGTTTTTTTTTTTATTTCCACACAATTTCCACTCATGCATACACTGCATCTCCTTCAATTAGTTAACGTATTGATACAGCTGCAGGTCTCCCCTGCATTTTTTCCGCCTCCTGCAGATATCCTTATATCCATATATATATATATATATATTGTAGAAGACTGTGTGCGTTTAGATGCACTAGTTCCAGATATCTCATCAGTTGAATCTTCCTCGGTCAGAAGGAATATGTCAACTCCATCGGTGCAGCTCAAAAGGTTTATTAATGGAATAGAAGCAGGTACATTGGAGATGATGGTACAGATGATGAGGTTTATATTTGCTTTTCTTAGGGATATGTATATGGATGTGTGGTTATCTGAAACAGAATAAACAATAAATATGCATATTTATAGCTATGCAGGCAAAACATGTGCATATAGATGAAGGATGAAATTGGCTTGTAATACCAAATAAATCCACTGGAGGACGCCATCACATCACACATGCATTATTGATCAAACGTAATAAGCATTTAACTGACAAAACCGTCGGAAAATATGAAATAAATGGCGATGCCCTCATTTACTAATAAAATGGAAATATATCTAGCAAAGTGAAAACAAAGAATTGAGTTATTAAAGTATATTATTGCATTGTCAGAAACCCAAAAACTAAAGAAAATTTAACCCCCTGGGTTAAAAACTGACAGAAAAAACACAATACGGATTAAAATGTATATTTACATCGAAAAGAACGCCCAGGTTTCTACCACTGGATTGAAATGGGTTTAATGGGGATCTATTTTGTGCCACGAACCACCCAGAAAAATGGAAAACAAACTTTTTTCAGCTACTAAAATTGAACTACAAGATGAAGGATCATCTGGGTAATGTGGTACTAAAGAAACAGACGCTTTTTAAAAGCCCCCCTTGTATTTCAACAAATACACCATGCAAACCCCCTATTTTTGAAGGAGTATTCAAATCTTCAGGTACCTCAGGAACTCTACCATTTGGTTCCGGGCGAGAGATACGTCCTTTAAACCTTCACCCAGCAGCTCGAACAACGCCATCCTTCCCGGGGAAAAACCTTTCGTGATGATCCCAACGGGCCACAGTCCTCTGGGAAGGTTGGAATCAACGATCATCACAATTTGTCCCACAGCAGTATTTTCAGTCGATTTCCTCCATTTCTGTCGTAACTGAAGTCCTGGGAGGTAGTTCTGGATAAAGCGTTTCCAAAAATGATCGCTGACGATCTGACTGTGTTGCCATCTTCTCTTGGACAGGGCATCATGAGAACCATATACTGCCTGCGGTAGTCCTGCATCACGCCGCCCCATTAACAGAAGATTTGGTGTGATGGGGTCTGGATCAGCCACGTCAGAGGAGGCATAACCGAGAGGTTTAGAGTTAAGGATGCCTTCAACCTCTATGAGAGCTGTTAGAAGCACTTCCTCCGCCACAACTTGGTGTTTCAGGACAACTTGTAAAGCTGATTTGACTGACCTGATTTCCCTTTCCCAGGCTCCCCCAAAGTGTGGAGCATGCGGCGGATTGAAGTTGAAGTTGATGGTCTGTTTGGCTAACTGTTGCTGCAACACTGGGGCCATGTTTTCAAAGGCGCTCTGCAGTTCTTTGTGTCCTCCCCTGAAATTGGTGCCTCTGTCAGACCACAGCTCGTACGGCTTCCCCCGGCGAGCAACAAACCTACGTAAAGACATCAGGAAAGAGTCGGTGTCGAGGCTAGGGAGGAGATCCAAGTGAACACATCGAGTAGTCAGACATTTTGTAGATGATCCCCCAGCGTTTCTCTCTTCGACGTCCAATCTTAACTAGGTAGGGTCCAAAACAATCTACTCCTGTAGACCAGAATGGGGGTTTGTAGATTCTCAGGCGAGCTGAGGGAAGGTCAGCCATCCTTGGTGTGGAAGGTGAGGCACGCCATCTCCTACAGTCCACACACTGGTACTGGTGTTTCTTAATGGCCTGTCGACCTTTAAGGATCCAATATGTGCGGCGTATTTCAGCATAGAGTCTCTCTGCACCTGGGTGAAATAGCTGAGCGTCGTAGTGCTTTATGATGAGTCGAGTCAGAGGATGATC